TCCCGTCCCCTTCCCCAGCAGGGCTTCCGATTTAACCGCGCCCCAGGCAGTCGGCTCGGTCCGACCCTCACTGGTCGAGCCACGGTGCCGCCTGAATTTGTGCCGGGTGCAAAACTGGAGCAGTAACTAGCGCCGGAACTAGTAGTCAGCACGACCGTCGTCAGATGGCAGGAGTAAATGGAATAAGCGGTTCCAGGTTTCAGAAGGAATGGGGCAGGAAAAAGCGCTGAAAACAATGTTTTGCTGGTATAGCCATAAAAAGTTCACTGAATTAGGAGAGCAGCACATCAGTTTAAAGCCCTTCAGATGGTGGTTTAAATAAGCACACAATCATTTCCCAATTCGCCTCCAACGGTGTCACAGGCCAAGAATACGCTGAAATACTAGTGTGTACAGAAGCAACTGCGGGTCCCTGTACCTACGGTTCTCCAGGGTATTAGTCGTTGGTCGCTCGGCGAGCGGGAGGGCAACCAGTTCCGCCCCTGTATCGCGTGACCCCTTGCTCCGCCCAGTTACGCACGATCGTACTCCACGCAGCGTAGTAGCGTGGGGAGGGGAGGGTTAGAATGGTGGCATGTGTAGAGGCTAGAACCGGTTTCCACCGCCATGCCACCGCCCAGCGACATGGAGCGGGGTCAGTGACCAGGGCGCAGGGAAAGGTCAGAGGTCAGCTTTAACGTAGAGCTTTGTGTCTCCCTCCCCTCCGTGTGTAACGACCGCACGACAGCGGCCGGCCGCCGATCAGGCTTGACATGTCAAGGTCACCCGCAGTCAACGGGCTCAGAGGGTTGGTCGAGTGCGAGTCCGTGGCTGACGACAGTCTCGACCATGTGCTATGGTGCCGATACACTAGCGTGGGTAATAAGTTTGTGTTCAGTGCATATGACTGCTGGGGCGTGTCCTCTTGATATGATGCTTTGTAACGTGTATGATACGCTTAAAACCTAGCTGGCAGTGGCCGAGAGGAGAGGGGGGGGGGAGGCGGTTGCCGCTTCCACATGTTTATTTTTGTTGATAGCTGCGAGAGCTGAAATTTGGCAAGCCTGACCTTTGATTCAAGCTGAATTTTTATGACAGCAGCTGTATTTTCACCCTCGCCCATATTGGTGTTTTGCCAGCGTCTATCGTAAAGAGGGGGAGGAGGGTCCGTTGGACCCCTTTGCCGTTCAGCCCCTAATCGAGCTAGAGCTTCGCGGAAAAAGAGCGTATTGCCCGTGACAAGAGGAGGCCGATGATACCCAATTTTAACCCTCGCCGGCACAGGGGGGGGTTGATGCAACCCCCCCCCCCCCCTAAGGTTTTTCGCGAATAACTCGCGTAAAAAGCGGCCGATCGCAACGAAACTTTCAGTACCCTCGCATTGATCAATTTTACACCTACCCTGATTTTTTTTTTACCCTGACCCAAATGACCTTTGACCTGTGACCTCTTTTCCGAGACCATGTTTGGCCGGAATCGCGATTCGGCGTATGTCGGCTCGCATTAGCCGCGCGTTTGCAAGCTTTTCGTGGTTTCAAACGTTCAAACATGTGATTTGATGTTGCTTTCATACATTAGGGTGGGTTTCAAGGTCAGCTGAAGGTCAGGTCAGGTTGTTGACCTTTGGTGACCTCGGGTGACCTCGGTTCACTTTTTCGAGTTTTACATGCTTCTAGGCTAGTTTTTGGAGCTGAATTCGAATTTAGCAACCATTTGAACATTTAAGAAGTAGTTTTGGTGCCTTCGTAACATGTTACGAAGCTGTCAGAGGTGGTTGACACGTATTACGAATACCCGTCACAACCCCTACCGGTTGACCTGACCCGACCTGGTCTAAATGCTTAAAGACATCATGTCTGATCAAAACTAATACGATATTCGTGATCAGCACCCCGGAAAACCTCATAGCAGCCACACTTTACGACTTTCTAACAGGTCCCGATTTTCCCGGTTTTTGGGTCATTGACCTGACCTGGAAGGTCACCCGATGACCTAGGACCTTAAAATTGGGTATCATCGGCTTCCTCTCGTGACGGGCAACACGCTCGTTTTTTTCCGCGAAGCTCTAGCTCGATCAGGGGCCAAACGCGAGGGGGGTCGTACCAACCCCCCTTGTGCCGTCGAAGGACGCAAAATGGCCTGTGCCGGCGAGGGTTAAGGTCCTACGTCATTGGTTGACAGGTCAATATAACTCAAAAGTCGGGGAATCGGGACCTGTTAGAGCTTCGTAAAGTGAAGCTGTTATAGGGTTTTGCGGGGTGCTGATCACGAAATTCAAGTTAGTTTTAATCATTTATGATGTTTTCGTGCATTTAGGCCAGGTCGGGTCAGGTCAGGTCAGGTCACATGTTACGAGTGAACCAAAACTACTTCTTAAATGTTCAAACGGTTTCTAAATGCGAAATCAACTTCAAAATCTACCCTAGAAACATGTAGAACTCGAAAGAGTGAACAAAGGTCATCAAAGGTCAGTGACCTGACTGATCTTCACGTGACCTTGATACCCACTAGAATCCATGCGATCAACATCCTTTCACATGTTTGATCGCTTAAAGCCACAAAAAGACAATAAAACGCGTTCCACTCGAAATACGCCAAAACGCGATTCCGGCCAAACATGGTCTCGGAAAACAGGTCACAAGTCAAAGGTCTTTTGAGTTAGGGTCATGCAAATTATAGGGTAGGCGTAATATTGAATAACTCGAGGATACTGAAAGTTTCGCCGCAATCAGCCGCTTTTTGCGCGAGTTATTTGCGAAAAACTGAGGGTAGGAGGTCTGTTCGACACCCTCCTACAAGTGCGAAGGTTAAGGTCAGGCCGTTGACCAATGGCGTCAAAAGTGAACCTCTGTAAGGCCCCAAAATGTCGCGACGTCGCAGCACCCTTCGTGCCAGGGGACTTTTCAACGGGGAATGAAGCTTATATGATCTAGTACTATCTCCCAGAGGCCTTACAACTTGTATGTAGCTATCTCGTATTTTTCTTAAGAGTCACCTGAAGTCAGGTCGGTCACGCAACCTCACGATTATTAATCAATTGGGAAATATGAAAACTGTTATTTTGGCGCCGGGAGCCATCTAAAGCTGTCTCAAGCGCATGAATTCGCGATTCTATACAATTTTTGCAAGCCCCAGCATTCACTTTTCCATTCTTAAAGTTAGGCGACTTCATTTATGACGTCACTAAGGTCACAGGAGATTTCACCAAAAAGTCCCGATCAAATTGAGCTAGCGAGTCGGGAAGCCACCAGTGGACTTGTAAGGACCTACCGCATCGAAGAAGCGATATGACCTCCTTGAGTCAGCCTCGTGGCCTGAGTGGCTCTGCACTGACATGACCTGAGGTAAACACCTTAAATTGACCTCAACAAAAACAAAGCGTAAACTATTCGACGCGTTTGAGCATGCAAAACTCTTGGCTCTGTAACCACTTAAGGTGAAACTGTTTACCAAAAACCGATCCCGCGACTTGAAGCACTTATACTGACCTCAGAGTTTATCGGTGGACCTGAGACATTCAACTCGGGTACCAGTTACTGCATCTCATACGACGCACGCGCTCAGTTTTATCCGCAAGGCGCTAGCTCAATTAGGGGCAAAAAGACGGAGAGGGGTCGTAATCGCCCCCCCCCCTCGGCCGGGGTATATGCAGAAAACCCAAAATTCCGTTGAAGGTTAAGCACTGAAGTGATATATTATGATGCGAGAAGGTATAGGCAAAAACAAGTAGGTATGCACACGAGCGGATGTGAATTAAACTGTGTTTGAGGTATGCCTTTTTTATTACACATTCGATTTGCTTTAGTTATTGGTAAGAACAGATACAACCAAGAAGAGCGCCCCTGAAGAAAAGGTGGCGCACCGGACGGGTGCGATTTTAAGGTCCAAGGTCAGTCGGGGACCTCTAAGTTTGGATCAAGCGCTGCATGTTAGGGTTAAAACTTAATAAAAAATGGGAGCAAACAAGCATCCCGATTTTGGCAGCATCGTCATGCTTTGTCACGGCACTCATCCACTCCCTCGGCCGAAATATTAGCTCCTTTTTGTATGAGTTCTGGCATAATCCCGCGCTGCATGTTGTTTGCCATGAAAAAAGCATGTTCAGCTACGTTCTACGCAGTACGCACTAACCTAACCAACATCATATCATCCACCACTAGCCACCATCCCGTTCTGTGATCCGTTCCACCCCACACGAATCAGCCGAGATACTAGTCAGTCGGACTAGCGCTATCCTCCCCTCCCTTCCTGACTGCACAGCGCTAAAACCCAGAGCCGAGACTTCCCGAGCGCGACCTCTGACCCCACGCGGTCCGAAGGGTCGGCCGATGCCTAAGGGCGCGCCGCGCGCCGGCCACCCGGATAGCCTCTGCCGAGTCTCCCTTCCATACACCGTTTACTACGCGCTCGATTCATTCATGATTCTGTGTTTCCGCGTCCCTCTCGCTAGGTGGCACCATGGATGTCATAGGCGATCCCAGGAAGATTGCGGCCAGAATACCCCAAACGGCAGAAAATGAGGTTTTTGGTGGATATCTCGGAAAGTATTTGGCATACAACGATGAAATTTCACAGTCTCGTGGTAAATGTGCATACACATAATCCGGGTTGATACTTATGCATTTAAACATTATATAGGACCAGATATGTCCGAAAAAGCAAAACCAACAAGACTTTTACTGGAGAGCCGTACATTTCTTTTCAAACTTAATTAAACATGCATGCTCAAAATTCAACATTTTTAGAACCCACAATAGCATTTGAATGCCCTCTGCATTGGAAAACAGAACATAATTGTTGAAATAAAAGGAAATGCAAGAGGAGTTAAGTAACGCAAAAACCATAGCAGAGCAATAGCAATCATATTTGAAAGAAATAACGCAATTTTGTAATGCTACATTAAGCGCTGTTTTAACAGCTTTCCCCTTTCACATATGAACCACCTAATCTTGAACGTCCAAATAATCGCGAGTGCTTATAGGTGGCACATAGCGCGAGGATATAAAAATCGACTGGAAAATAAACGTCTCTGGAGTTTGGACGCGCAGGCTGTCAATTTATTAATTTTGGTCATAATTTAATTAAAAATCACATGAATGGACTAGAAGTGCTACGTTTCGATAATATGATGTGTGAGCGGTAAGGGTGACCAGCAATATGCATTGGAAGTGCAAGCAATGACTTCTCATTCAGTAAGTGCAACACAAGCGAAGTTCATTCACAGTCGAATTGACACTGTTGAGGAACATTTTGGTTTGATGTGTGATGGATTCGCGTCAGTTGCAAGGAAGAACGCCAAATGTCGCGATGCTTTGGATGATTTTGCTAGGACAGTTGTGGCATTCGCCGACAAGGAAACGTTAAATCGCACCATGAGAGCGCAAGTTACTCACTTGGCCGATACGCTATGTGGCATTGCCGATTTGCAGCAGACTTTGGTACAAAGTATAGAGATTAAGGTGGTGGGAGGTTTTGCTGTGTATGAAGAGTCATGCAAGAACGCCAGAGAGGATCTCGATACGAATTTCAAAACTCAAGGTAGAGAAGCCAAGGCCGGCCAACAACTAGAATTGGTGAAAGAAAAGGCCCCAGGTGATATCAGACAACTTTCACAAGCTGAATCCAAACTTCAGCGAGCATCTTTCGATGTCGCCAGGACACACGCAGCATTGGAGGAAAGCATCGAATTTTTCGAAATGAAGAAGCTACGAGACTTGAGGAAAATATTAATCGGATTTTGCCATTCTCAACTCACCTTCCATGCACGAAGCCTGGAGCTGTTCACCCGTGCGTATAACACGGTAGAGGACATTCAGGTAGAAGCTGATGTCGAGGAGTTCAAAAAAGCATTGATGTTCCCAACTGGAAACTTGCAGTACCGGACTCCGGATATGATTAGTCGAAGCCTGACCAACTTCACACTTGGCGGAGGGAAAAACTCAGGCAGGTCAGCGAGCACCGGGCGGATGGGCGCCGCAAGCAGCCGGCAGCTAGGACCAGGTGGCCCATCAGCGAATGACCTTCGGTCGAACAGGTCACAGTCACTGGACAGAGGCTACGACGGATCAAGACTGCGGGTGCCGGTGGGCTCGCAGACATACTTCTCACCAAGTTTTATGTCATACCCAGTGCAGTCCACGTCATCCTTCGGCTATGGGTACGGTGTGGGCCTCCGAGGGTCTAGGAGTCGTTCCACATGAGAAGCGGCTCTTCAAGAACGGTTCCGATTTTCGTTCTTGACTTCAGTGCATGCAGGCTGGTAACAGTTCGCTAAGAAAATAGGTTTGCTTGAAACATGTAACATGACATTGTGAGGTATCCATGAACCCATGACATTTGTATCGGAGTTGCTGAAGAAGCCATCTCCACGAATGCACAAAACGAAACGAGTGCTTGTTGTGTGATGATTGTGTGGTCACTCCGTGTGAATACGTAAGCGAGAAATAAACCCTATGGGCGCTTCTTTTCATTAAACTTTCCGCGCGGGTGCAGGGGGAAGGGGTTAATGCAACCTTACACTTCTTTTCACGATTTCTCAGAAAGAGTTGGCGATAAAGCAATGAAAGGTGGCTTACCTGATGCTGATTCGAGCCAGATTTTGTGACACCAACAATATTTTCAGGTCAGGTCAGGTCACTGACCTATAACGTAAGTGAATCTTACACCGTACTAATTTTTATTAATAAATTTAGTCCGAACCTTTTGATAGGAAGGAGTCACAAGGACAGAACCACCGCTAAGCGAAGCTTGTTGCGGTGACCCTGCCCTCTACCCTCCGATCGCGCAATTCCAGTTCTATGGCAGAATTTAGAGTCCAAAGTTTAACGTGCGCACATAGCCGCGCACGGCCGGTCCCCTCACTGACTTCGCCTGGCTACGGCCTGCCACGAACCGCAACCATCCCTGTCAGGAGGCCCATAAATGTCAAGCGCCCGTCGCGCTTCGAACCCGGACTGTTATAACCGGGAACGCGTGCTCTCACCACGCGGAGTCCAACGCTCTACCAATTGAGCTACGGGACCGGCTAAAATCTCGCAACATCCGAACGCCTTCAGTGTCTTTTTGAAGGAGATGAAAAGTACAGGGAGTAGTTAGCTCACTAGTCATTACTAATTACATGCATCCAGCCGTTTTGCCCAAGGTTTTGCCTGGGACCCGGGATGGCGCATTTACACTCACAATTTGTATATCTCGGATTTTTTTAATGAAGATCACCCGAGGTCAGGTCGGTCAAGCGACCTCATTATTGTAAGTCACTTCGGTAAATGTGAAAGCTGCTACTTTGGCGCTGGAAACTGTCTAAGACTATCTCAAGCGTATGGAAAAGTGATTTCAAACACTCTCTGAAAGCTGCCATGGTTTATTTTACATTGTTGACCCTGCCTGACGTTATCTATGACGTCACTAAGGTCATCGGAGTCGCCAATGAATGATTCCCGATTAAATCGGTTCGGCCGTCTTGAGATCTGGAAACGACACCTGTACGCAGTAGTCGTGCGCACGTGCAGCAGCAACGCAACTGTGACACATGGGAATGCATTGCCTGGTGGATGCCTACCTACATACACGGCAAGTTTCAGTGCAATCGGCCGAGTAATTACCGAGATATTGCACTTGTTGCAAAACTGACACCTCTTCGTTTTGCACGTGGCACGTGCGTAAGGGGTCATCCAGTTGCATCGGTAATAGTTTCATACTTGATAGAGGGTATAAAGCTACCCTATAAAAATTACTCCAAGTAAATCGGTCGAGTGTTTGCGGAAATAAGCTTAGCAAAAGCGTGACCAGTGACCACGGCCGGCCGCTCATACTCAAAGATTTCTGCTCTTCTTACGTACATAGGCTTTGCTCACTCCACTCGCTCGGCAACAACATGATGCCACCTACATCGAAGCTTTGTGTCCATTTTTAACGAAGTTATTCACTCAAAACCGAGCCCGTACCACAGGACATTTGACCTGACCTCGGGGGTCGCCAGTTGGACGCTCGTCTTTTCGTCAAAACTCTTGCTCAATTAGGGGCGAAACGGCGAGGGGTTTTCAGTTTCCAATCCCAGCCCCCTCGATGTAAAAATCCGGTGGGTTCGGCGAGGGTTTAACCCGTGCCCGGATGGGCATCTCAGCCAACTTCGCCATGGTGGTGGTGGTGGTGGTGGTGGTGGTGGTGGTGGTGGTGGTGGGTGGGTGGGGGGGGGGGCTTTTTGCCCATATCAGCTTATCTAGGAAAGTATAAAAGCTAGAAAGACGCGGTAAAAAGGAAAAGGTAGTTCGCTATAAGATATTTTATAATTACATAGGTTTTTTTTCGATCAGGTCATTACTGAGGTCACCCGAGGTCACCAAAGGTCAAATTTTTACGAATTTTGGGTAAGAGCGAATGCGCTTTTCCGCAGCGCTGTAGCTCTATTATAGAGCTATAGCGCTGCGAAAAAGCACATTCGATAGCTCTTTCAAAGGTCTTTCTTAGTATCATTCTCATATTTGACATAAGTTTCACGGTTTAGCCTCCAGAGGGCAAAAAGTCAAAATTTGACGCATTTGCCGAAAAGGTTTTTGCATGACTTTTGACTCCAAGCTTGTATTACGCTGATTTTACCGGCATCGCGTTTGTCTCGTCGAGACGCGTCGAATGAACAATAAGTTGACCTGAAAAATTAAAGCTTTAAAATTTTATCTCAGGTCAAAGTCACGGAAAAGGTTATGTTGCATGCCATTCGATTCGCATTGTTGAGCTAAACACATGGTCATGGTGTTTTCAGCGATCTAGCATTGTTCTATCTGAAGTTTTCGTCAAGACCTAGGGAAGAATATAAAAATAGTGTTGGTGACCTGTCCCAGTAAACATGCCGAGGCTCGGCCCGACGTCGGCCCAACGTCGGTTCAACCTCGGCCCGACATCGGCTGGACGTCGGATATGCCCGCATGTTCCGACGTCCAGCCGAAGTCCAGCCGACGTCGAGCCGACGTCGGGCCGAGGTCGTTTGCCGAGGTTGACGAGATCGTTTGTCGTTGGACCGACGGGGCCGACGTCGGCATGTTTATTGGGACAACGCGCCAAAAATATCAACCGGCGACGAGATTCGAGCCCCCAGTCGCCGACGTCGGCATGTTTACTGGGACAACACGCCAAAAGCATCACCCGGCGTTGGGATCCGAACCCCGTGTCATTTGAACGCGAGGCTAGTGCGCTAACCACTACACCACGCAGCCAGATAGCGAATTTCGTTTGTTTTGTTGGGTTATGCCCTTTCGGTCTGACAAGACCATTTCAGAGCCGGAAGGATGATAGGATGGGGAGAGGAGACATTGGTCTTCTTGGCGAGCACGCTGGGTCCAGTTCATATAGAGTCCCTGGTCCCATTGCTGTTACGTGACACTTATTGGAAAGGGCGACCCCACAATGGATTCATATAGCCACTCTTACACACCTGCACCAACGTTTCCCAAGGTGTCCCTTTGATAAGTGGCACTTTGGCAAAGTGACACTTGCCGACTGGCCTTTCTATATGAACTGGGCCCGGCCCTGGTGAGTTGCCGGGGCTGAGCCTGACCAAAGGATAGCCGAGCAGCCCCCAAGCACTCACCGCACCCGGCTACGGGCGAGCTCGGCTTACGGGCAATCCCAAATGGGATAAAGTTTCCCGTTCAGTCCGGATCAGGGGGTTGCGGCGTGGAGGAAGATTTGAGTTTCCTGAGGATATTTTGAATACAGAAGCTCTTTATGAAACATGAATCATGTACATATTTTATATTATTTTAACGGTCAAAACAGCGGCCGATGTCGGTCCGACGTCGCCCCGACGTCGGCCCGACGTCGGCTGGACCTCAGCAATTGATCTCGGTCCGACGTCGGCCCGACGTCGGCTGGACCTCGGCTGGACATCGCGGTACATGCGGGCATATCATCACACATCCAGCATCCACCATCCACACATCACATCCAGCCGACGTCGTGCCGAGGTTGGACCGACGTCGGGCCGACGTCGGCATGCCGATGCCGAGTTGCCGACGTCACCCCGACGTCGGGCCGACGTCGGCATGTTTACTGGGGTAGTATGAGGTCAACAGTCCCGAGCTGGGGCTTTAGTTTTTTTTTTTTGCAAATAACCAACAAAAATGGCCCTAGAGCTTCGGCAGTGGTACCAACGCATTTGTCTTGTCGAGCCGCGTCGAATTAAGTGAAATAGCCTCTATGCAAGGATCATCCCTTCGTAACGTTGACCTTGGAGCAGCCTTGTATCGTAGGATGAAATACAAATAGGGGTCTGATAAGCCTCAAAACATTTCAAAACAACACGGAATTTAGTATACAAGATATACGAAAAAGTGCCAAGTTTGAGGTCAATTTTCAGCATGACCCTAACACTGACATTGAATGTTGAGCGCATCATCGGAATCCTCATATTCTCTTCTTTCGTTTCACATGCATTTTAGTCGGTTTTACGAATCCTGCCAGGAAGAAAGGGGGGGTGGCGAAAAACGCCCCCCCCCCAGGCTGCGGTGGTTAGGGTTACCCCCGGGCCCGGCCGGGTTAAAGGTGAGTCAAATGGTCAAGTCATAAGTCATTAAACGTTGAATCGTTCCGATTTTTTATCTGACCGACTGGCTCAAAACGGCAAATTATTCCTATTTTTTTCTGACCGATCGGCTCAAAACTGTTGCTATAAACTAACATTGATTGAACAGAGTTCTGCTAGTTAGCACAGGAAAAACATCTGAATTTTATTTTTGAAAGTTATTTTTTCAAACTATTAAAACTATTTGAAAGAGAAGGAAAATAATACGAATCCATCTTCACCTTTGACAGTTATTTGAGCTGGAGCTTCGGATAAAACTTGTTGCTGATGCTGCAAGCTGTTCCATGAGAAGATGCCGTTCCTACGCGACTTGAACCCCTCAGGTGACTGGTCAATCGGTGACCTCAACACGCGTCGTCTTACCTCATTCCGCAACCAAACAGTTCCTACCACTAAGTTTAGCAAGCATGTTTTAAAAATAATAAAAGTTGGTTTGTTTGCGTATTGATGAGACTTTGGAAACGTCAACATCAACATGCCGTCTAGTCTGTGCAACATGCCCCAGTCACGAAGTGCTCAAGGTGGCGCTGCAGCCACCGTTGGCTCGACGACAGATGTCAGTGTAGTCGACCATAGGCCCGGACTCGCATGGATGAAAGCGAATGAGGGATGGGGGGACGGCGCACCGTTCCGTCATTGCCATCTTCAGGACAGACGAATCCCCCTACGGGCCTACACGCCTCCAACGGGCTTGATGGGCAACTTTATCCCATGCGGGAAGCTCCCCTAACCCCTAGGAGCACGCCCGTAGCCGGGTGCAGTGTCAGGGGGCTGTGTCGCCTGTCCAATGGATGGCCACCCAGACCTTATGATGCATCACTTTAGCAACCGGTCAACAAATTTCGACCCCAGGACGAGGACATTAAAGGCCTCCAAAAATGTTAGCGATCGTGTCCAC